TTCAAGCCCAGGGAGACAGGCTTCAGATCTGTGCCCCACACCTCTTGCAGGAATTTGTCAGTTCCCAGAAGGTGAAACTCTAAAGTCAGCCCCAGCTGCCCGAAACTCAACCACAGGGAGCTGGCTCTTGGCCCCCTTGCTGGCTCTCTTCTTTCCTCTCAGCCTCACCCTGCCACCCCCATTTCCCTCCCTGGCCCTAGGGCTCTGCTTCTTCCCCAAACCTGCTCTACCACAATTTCTTCCAGGTTCCCTCATCTGTAAAATGGGGATAATAACAGTACCTGTCTCAGAGGTATGTTGTAAAGATCAGAAGAGATGCTTGAAGTACAGTGCTTGGAGCCTGGCACATGGCAGATTCTCAATGAATACAAGTGATCATCATCACTATCATTGTTTTCATAATGTCTCAGAAGTCCTGGGAAAGAGGCTCCGGATAAGCATTACCTACAGTTGATGGTTGAGGAAACTGAGGTTGAGAGGGTACAGCAACAGCTGTCCACGTGCTCAACTAGGAAAGAGAGCAGGATTTTATTGGGGCCTCCTGATTTTCCGATTTCAGATCTCGTTAACTTCTGCTACTCTCTGCTGGGCGGATGAGTGAACCATAATCAATATTTATTATTTACCTAATGTGTGCCAAGCCAGGCCCTGGAGCATTCAGAGATCTGACCTAGACCCTTAAAAGAGCTTAGAACACGTCAAACCAGGCATGGAACCAAGGCCTTGTTTGTTGAGACAGAACACGCTCAGGGTCCAAAGAGGACAAGAGGCACTCTAGCTGAGAGAGAAAAAGCAGGCCAGGAAGGCTTCCTGGAGGAAGTGGGGTTTAAGCCTGGCCACCAAGTACCAGTGAGATACGCAGACTAAAAGGGTCTGTACAGGGTAGATAAGGTCAGAGCTAGAGCAACAGCTACTGATTCTTGAAGCCCCTTATGAATCAGTCCTGGGCCAAAAGCTTTACATGCATTATCTCATGAGATTTCCCCATACTCCCATGAGGTAAGTGGGAATAGAGATGAGAAAAACCAAGGTTTGGAGAATTTTTAAAACCTGCCTGGGGCCAGGCATGTGGCTCTTGTCTGTAATACCAGCAACTCAGGAGGCTGAGGCAGGAGGATTACAAATTCAAGGCCAGCCTGGGAAACTTAGCAAGACCCTGTCTCAAAATGAAAAGTTAAAAGGGCTGGGGATGTGGCTCAGTGGTAAAACGCCCCTGGGTTTAATCTGCAGTACCAGAAAACAAACAAATCTTGCTTGGTGTCACACAGCTAGTAAAGCAGCAAGGCTTCAGTTTCAATCCAGACAAGCTGGCAACAAAGCCTGGGCCACCTCATCATCCGATGAGGTCCGGAGCTGGGAATAGACTCTGGAAGGTTTTGAATGTCAAGGCTCAGACTTTCCTACAAACCACACAGTAGACAGGCAGGAATCTGCAGATCTGGAATGAATGGCAGCTCTGGCACTCACTACCAAGGTCACTTCTGAGCCTCTCTGAACTGGAGAGCTGAGGTCTGGAAATAGATGATCAACAATGAAGGGTTTAGAATGAGGGAGGAAGGCTCTAGTGACAAAAGGATTGTTTAGGAGAAACTTAGAGATGTGCAAGTATCTGCCAAGTGCTGGGTCCTCAGAATACAATTGAGCTTTTTTTTGGGGGGGTGGGTACTAGGGATTGAACTCAGAGGCACTCAACCACTGAGCCACATTCCTAGCCCTATTTTGTATTTGATTTAGAGACAGGGTCTCACTGGGTTGCTTAGGGCCTCCTCATTGCTGAGGCTGGCTTTGAACTCACGATCCTCCTGCCTCAGCCTCCTGAGTGGCTGGGATTACCACTGTGCCCAGCCTCAGAAAACAATTGTGAACAAGACACAATCTGTACTCTGGACCCTCACTCCAGCTGTGCCTATGGCGGAATAAACAGGACTCCGGAGCTGGATTGTCTGATTCCACTGTCAGTTCTCAAATCAGTGAATCTCTCTGTATGACCTTGGGCATGTTACCTAGCTTCTTAGCCTCTCCACCTTTACCACAAAGATAAGCATTGCTCTTCCCAGGATTGTTGGTATAAATTAAATAAAACAACACATTTAACGGTCTAGCATGGTGCTTGGCATACAGTAGACAGTAGATGTTAGTTTTCCCTATGAAGAGGCATAAATGTTGGGATCCATGTCTTGCCCCCCCCCATTCTGCCAATTAAAGTTACTGGTTCCTGGCTTTCATTTTAGCAGAAAGGGGGATATAAATGTATATAATACAGTCCAACCACACAAACTAACAAAGAGCCCTGTGTCCTGGGAAATGCAGTGCAGGATCTAGGCTCAGATCTGGACTCCAAGCCAAAACATTTCTCCCCATCACCAGGGAACCCGGGCCCATTTCTCAATGCACTATGAGCTGCTCAATACTGTGCTGTGTGTCTGGTAACCGCCCTCTGTTTCAGTTTCGTGGGCTGCTGGAGCGGGCCTACAGGGATAGGAGCAGGTGTCGTGGCCCCTTTAAGCTGTAAAGCTCGTGTTGCAATCGCGGCTTCTAAGGCCGGTCCTTTCCGGGGGGCGGAGCCTGTGCGTGTTGCAGCAGCCAACCAAAGCGCCGCATTTTCCGCGGGAGATCTGAATTTCGCGGCACGCAGATTGGCGCTAAAAAAAAAGAGAGAGAAGAAAAAAGAGACTGAGAAAGGCTTGGGGACCAGAGAGCGAGCCGAGAGCGAGTCTCAGGGGCCCTGCCGCGTCCGAGCGCACCGCGTCTCTGCCGAGCCCGTAGGCACCCGAGGCTTCTCCCCGGAGCGGGCCAGACCCCAGGCGCCCCAAGGCCTTCGGGTCGCGGGGCAGTCCCGGGAGGCGGCCGCCCTCGGGGCGGGACAGCTCCTGGTAGTGCCACCGCCGCCAGGCGGTCTCCAAGCGGCGATCTCCAAGCGCTGCTCGGCCTTGGGCCAGGAGGGGAGGGTCTGGCCTTGCCCGGTAGACGTCCATTGGCGGCTTCCCCCGGCCTCCGCGCCATGCCGCCGGCTGTGTGAGCCGCTGCGGGCTCCAGAGCCCCCAGGTGCCCCGGGCCCTGGCTCCGGCCGCTGCGCAGCCCGCAAAGGGGGTGACCTCTTTGAGCCCCACGGAGCTATGGCCGCCCGGCCTCAGCAGCCCCCAGCTCTGCCGGGCCACCACTACCTACCACACCTCGCTGTACCCGCAGACGGTGCCTCCTGCCGCGGCACCTAGCACCTGCCTCGACGCCACTCCCCACGGACCCGAGGGCCAAGTTGTGCGATGCGTGCCGGCAGGCCGGCTGCCGGTAATGCTGGGGACCCCCACTGCTTCTCCCTGTGCTTTCTGGGTGGGGAAAAGGAGGGAGGAGCTCCTGAGATTCAGTTTGAGCGAAGCAGGTTGAATTTGGGGAACGGAGAAGATGAACTTTCAGTTTCCAGAACTTTTTTTGCCCCTAAAAACTGAGAGGGAAAAAAACCAACCCCATCATTTTCAGAGTTCGGATGAAATCGTCTTATCCACTGTCGTGGGGTGTGCTGAGCACTAAATCGGGAGTCTGGAGACCCAATCCAATGTCCCTAGTGCACTGGGTGACTGGAGAAGTAACTCCACAAGGCACCCATCATTGCCACTGTTCATTCATTTCTTTATTGTACTGGGCACCTGCTACTTGTCCTCAGGGCTTGGCCTGGGGATACCTTGGGGACTTAAGGCAGGAGTATAAGTCTGTGGCTCTCTCAGACCCAGTCTGGCTTGGACAGACTGCAGACTGTCGCTCCAGCCAACTCCTTCCCAGGTATATGCCCTAGGTCTTTCCCCAGTCTTCGCTCCCAGATAGGCAGTGGCAGATGCAAATGCAGGCAGCCCCCGGGGTTCCTGTTCAGCGGGGCTATGCCCTCATGCCCCTGCTGTGGCCAGGGAGGGTCCAAAGTATGGTGGCATCCAGCAGCACGGGGTGTGTTTTGTGGGAGTGGAATTCCTGGAGCTGAAACAACCTTAGTCTGGGGGTGGAGTGGGAAAGGGCCTGGGGGCCTGGTGACAGGGCGGGGTTAGGGGAGCCTGTTTTTTCAGTCCTGACTGCCACTAATTCACTGTGTGTATTTGAGTCTGGGCCTCAGTTTCCTCTTCTTGAAAAATGCACGTGTGCCTGTGGTAGCTCTGGGGCCAGCTCACCTTGGGTCACTTCTAGCTCCAAGTCCTTGGTTTTAGAAGCTTGCTCCAGGGAGGGAAAGTGGGGGTGTTGTAGTTGGCTTAGTTGTGGTTGTACTAAGTTTGGGTGTCCCCCACTCCCAGGCTCTGGTGAGAGCTGTGCCAATCAGCAAGCATGGATCCCTGGCCATCTCTTGCTGTAGGAAGAATCCCAATTCCTGCTACTGGAATCAGGCTTGGCTTTGCCTCCCCAGAACCCCTTCCTGCCCATTAGTTCCAACCAGGAGGGCAGGAGGCAGGTATGCTATCATCCTCACTTTATAGGTCAAGCACCTGAGAATAACCATCATCTTTCAGTGTCTTGTGTTCAGTATTTTATACTTTAAAATATTCTTGTAGCCTATGAAGTAAGTGGGATTAGTAGCTCCATGCTACAGGGGAAACTGAGGGTCAGAGAGGGGATGTGACCTGTCCAAGGTCATAGAGGGAGATTGGGTAGAGTGACCTGACCTACAAGTCATCTTCCTATATAGCCTTGACTTTCTCCAATACTGCCCGAATTAGATAGAAGGGCCAGTCTCTCCTCTGGCCAGCTGCTTTCAAACTCAGAGTTTCAGTAACAGCTGTGGTTTTGAACTACTTTGAATGCTCCCAGAGGATTCCAGACTGCATCTGTCTGAAACTCCCTCCAGGAGGGGCTCAGTGATCTTGGCAAGGACAGCTCTCTCTTATTCAATGCCTCTCATATGCCAGATTCTTCTTGGCACTCTTCAAAATCATCATCTTGGTCAAGATACCCAGCATGAGGTACCTTGAAGGTAAGGAAATTGAGCAGAGTAGTGAAGTCACTTGCCCAAGTTACGAGTCAAGGAGTCGGGGAGTCTGCTTACATAGATACCTCTAGAGGCCTGCCAGGTCCAGAGCCCCCTCTCCTGTGGGTTCCCAGATGTCTAGGGCCTCAGCCCCATAGGCAGGCCTGTCCCCTGCTTACTCATTTTACAAGGGTGTGACCCGAAGCAGCTCCAAACCCAACCCTGGGTGTGGCTGCCTGCTTTGTGGCCAGGCTGCAAAGTGCAGGGGGAGCAGGATTTGTTGGGGAGCTGTCCCTTTAAAGGGTTGGCAACCAAGATGGAGGGCAGGATGAAGGCTAGACCCCAGGTCTGCCTGTTCCCTGTCCAGTGTTCTTGCCACCACTTGGAGAAGACTCAGGAGATAGTCCTTCGTCGAGTCCCTCCTCTGGCCAGGCACATGATATTCTTCTGTTTCTGCTCTTCAGGGACCTAGGAAGACAGTGGGATTCTGCAAGATTCTGCAATGGTTCTCTTGTCGTTGTGTCTATATTTTTCAAATTTCCTCTGAGAGCCGTAAAAGAAAATAAACTTTTTATTTATTTACTTTTTGAGGTGGTCTGGCTATGTTGCCTAGGCTGGCCTTGAACTCCTAGGCCCAGGCAATCCTCCTGCCTCAGCCTCCTGATTAGCTGGGACAACGGGTGTGTGCCATGCTGCAAAGGCTGAAAACAAACCTTTTATTGAGCTGCACAAGGCAGATCAGAAGGAGAGGGGTAGGCTCAGAGGGGTGAGGCCATGATACCCTAAGTCCCCATCTGTCTAGCTACCAGGTGACACCGATGGGGGCTGAAAGTGAGGCTCAGCCCCTTACATGTGCTTCTGCGCCTCACTGTCTAACTGAGAGCTTGGGAGAGACTTGGCTGCACTCTGTGTGACCTTGGGCAAGTCACTTCCCCTTCTGAGCCTGTTTCCTTTCCTTGATGCCAGTAAGAGGCTTGGCCTGGGGCTTCCGGTAGGTCGCTGTGTTGCTTCCTATAGGTCACTATGTCTTCTCTCTGAGGTTTGGCAGGATGTATTTGAATTCTAACCAGGTTAAAGGGGCTGTCAAGGACGTTGAAATAGGAACCTTGCTGGCCTCTGGGTGTGCTCACAGACCTTTGCTTTCCTTGGCCCCTCACAGCTATCTCTTTCAGCTCACCCTTGAACTTGGCCCTTGCTGGTACTTTAGTGCTGGCAGCTGCCCTGCATGAGCACTGGCCTGGGCAGGCAGAGCGCTTTTGCTGCACCCTCTTGCTTACTCCTCAGTAGAGGTGGAGCGGACTGTCTCCATTTTACAGGTGGCCCAAGAGGCCAACTGACCCTGCAGCTCACCCAGCTAATAAGGGGGAGGCCGGGCTGTGCACCAGGTTGGTGTGCCCCAGGCCTGTGATCAGCCTCTCTTTGGGATTATCCTCTGTCATCTCAGTTCTGCAGGCTCAGCCCAGTCACATGCTGACTTCTGGGCAGTGCCTATAGGTGTCAGGGAGGTGTCCCAGGGTGGGGGGCATGGCTGCTTAAGGACCCTGGGAGTAAGGATTATGGTCAGGGGGATTAAGAGAAGGGAGGGGGCCCGTGTGTGTGTGTGTGTGTGTGTGTGTGTGTAAGAGAGAGAGACGCGGAGGCCAGCTATGGCAGCCTTGGCCTCATTCCAGCAAACCCGGGAGAATGTATGTGGCATTGAGCTGACGCAGCCTTGCACGGCCCTAGGGTCAGACAGACCTGGTTTGAACCCTGACTCTGCCTTTGTCTGTGTGAGTGTGGGCACGTGCCTTAACCCCTGAGCCCACTGTCTGCCCAAGTGCCAGTCCCAGTGTTGCAGAGCTGCGGGAGCATGTGCCCTGCCCCCTGCAGGTCTCCTGTTCAGGGTCTTCTCTGCCACCTCTGGCTGTGCAGGGGTTGAGCTTCTGGTGGGGGGTGCTCTGGGCTGGCCCGGCTCCGCCTCACTCCCGGACCTTCGTATTCCTTACGAGGGATAGATGAAGGTCCTGGGGTGGACAACCTTGACCAGCTGGACAAAGGCCTCAGAGCTCACCAGCCTCAAGTCCTTCAGCCACGAAGTGGGGTCCAGTGGTGTTGGGAAGGTCTGGTGAAGTGGATGCGGAGGCTTGGCTCGGGGAGTGGGCAATGCTTGGGTCTTTCTCTAAGACAGGATGGGGCTAGGTTCCTACACTCTAGGAATTTACCAGTTGAGAGGCAGATAAGGAATATTCAAGAGAGGCTTTGAGAGGAATGAGCAGGGAGGTGTCTGGGTTCTGTCCGGGCCTGGGCAGGGGTGGGTGAGAGAAGGGTCATATCCAGGCTCCTCCAACCAAGGAGCAGAGTTCCTCCACTCAGTCCAGGAGGACTTCCTGGAGTGAAGGTCTAATGGAGGAGGCAGGAGGAGCTGTCACCCTACCCCACCCCACCCCCAACACACCTGTCAGCCCAGCTGTGCTCAGCAGCGGTTAGAAGACTCAGTCAGCCCTGCTGAGCATGACCTCACCACCAAGTGTTAAATTAAGCCCTTAAGTCAAGTCGGGGTGACTCGGGACAGGGGAGGAAGGAAATGGGCCCAATGGCCCCCTGAACTTTTGTCAAGGAAGATGGTGAGCTTGAATTTTAGCTGTGGGGCTGTGTATTTCCTGAGTGCCTACTGTGTGCTGAGCCACAGACTGAGAATGTTACAGATGATTCCTTCTCAGTCTTTACAATAGCCCTGCAGATGTTTTCTGCCGCATTTTGCAGAGGAAGAAACCAAAGCTCCTAGAAGCAGAGCATTTTCCCAGGTCACACAGTGAGCCTGAGAGGAGCTGGAGACTCCAGGTGGCTCTCTGACCTGTGTCCCAGTGCCCCAGTGCCCTATCCCTGCCCCTGCCCTGCCCCTGCCCAGCCCTAACCAGAAAGGAGGCCTTTTCCGGGCTGTGAGTCTCTGGGCCGGGTTGGGGCCAGTCGGGAGGAGCAGATGGGTCTGCGGTTTGATTTCCCCAGCAGGTGTTTCCCAAGCTTGGTGGGGGGATGGGGAGGGGCAGAGGGGCCTCAGCTGCCTGTCCTTAAGACACTGGGGAAGGCTTATTGTCTGCTTCTCAGCAAAGAAAGAATAGCTGAATGTCTCTTGAGGGGACCCTGGATCCCTCAAGCCAGAGACGGATCATGAGGGTGGGGTGTGTTTGCACTGTTTCCCAGTGTGGGTGCCTCCCTGGGGTGGGGCACCAAGCCAGGAAGTCCCTAGGGTCTGGGCGGATGCTAGGCCACACCCCGATAAGGACCAGCTGTGGAGCTGTGATGGGCACCAGCTGGCTGGGTCAGCTGTTTTTTGCAGAGGGGCTGGTCCCCAACCTGATGTGGTTTGGGCCTCACCTACTACTTCCTCCTTTTATGTCTTCTGGGGTTGGGGTTGGGGGTAGAGGCAGCCTGGGGCCTGTGGTTAGGAACCCTGAGCCTCTGGCCACACTGGATTTGGTAGGGCCTCCAATGCCTGGGCCTCAGAGATGGGATTTTCTTTTCTTTTTTTGGGGGGTGGGTATGAAATTGAACCCAGGAGCACTTAATCAATCATTGGGTCCTTTTTATTTTTTATTTTGAGACAGGGTTTTACTAACTTGCTTGGGGACTTGCTAAATTTCGGAGGCTGGCTTTGAACTTGTGATCTTCCTGCCTCAGCCTCCCGAACTGCTGGGATTACAGGTGTCTGCCACCATGCCCAGCTCAAGAGTGGGATTTTTATTTGCCCCTCAGGAAACAGGACATCCCCCTTCTGAACGATTACCTTTCAGGTCATTGATATTTCCTTACCAGTGAGTGTGGCCATGCTGCACCAGGACTCGTGGCAAACTGGGGGTAGCTGCTAGTGGCCTCTGTACCTTAGCCCCAGGTCAGGGAAAGTCTAAAGAAAGACTGATTCTTACTGCACCTCTCTCCCTGTCTCTCCAAGGCCAAAAGGAAGCTGGACCTGGAGGGAATCGGGAGGCCAGTGGTTCCGGAATTCCGGACTCCCAAGGGGAAGTGCATTCGAGTGGATGGCCTCCCCAGCCCCAAAAGTAAGAGCTCCCCATGGGCATCTCAGGGTGGGAGGGGGGCAGAGGGCAGCTCCCCTCCCCAAATCATCAGGAGCAATATTTGCATTTTCCGGTTTATCAAGGTTTCCTGTGTGTTCTCCACTTGATCCTGCCTAGGGCAACTTGAGATTCAGAGAGCTCAAGTGACTTGCCCAGGGTTACACAGCTAGTAAGCGGAATCAGGACTAAAGTCAATGGAAGTCCTGGCACTGCTTCCACACCACATACCGTTCCCTTGTGCCAAATGGGATGCCCGATGCTTTGAGAGACTGCTATTTTTTTTAAAAGTTTTTGTATTTAGCCTGGCATGATGATGCACTGCCTGTAAAGTGGCACTGGAGGCTGAAGGCAGGAGGGCTAAATATGATTGAAGGGGACATGAAGCTTGGATCAATCTAGCCTCTGCCACCTGTGAGGTTTCTTTTGTGTTTGTTTTTGGGTACTGGGGATTGAACTTAGCGGCACTCCACCACATCCCCAGCCCTATTTTGTATTTGATTTAAGAGACAGGGTCTCACTGAGATGCTTAGCACCTCACTTTTGCTGAGGCTGGCTTTGAACTTGCAATCCTCCTGCCTCAACCTCCCAAACCGCCTGGATTATAGGTGTGCATCACTGCACCTGGCTTGGGTTTTTTGTTTTGGTACTGGGGATTGAACCCAGGGACACTTTACTACTGAGCTGCATCCCCAGCCATTTTTTAAAAAATATTTTTTATTTTGAGACACGTCTTGTTAAGTTGTTTAGGGTCTCGCTTAATTCTGAGGCTGGCCTCGAACCTGTAATCCTCCTTCCTGAGCCTCCCGAGTTTCTGGGATTACAGGCATGCACCACTGTGCCTGGCCACCGGTAAAGTTTTTAAGATCCTGAGAGTGCCCAGATGGAGACTTCCAAAAGCTAACTTAGAGGGGATTTCTGTCTCTTGAGATTTCAGTGCATAGTCTTGTTAAATTGGCATTTTAAGCAAGTGTCTGTGAGAAATACTAGTTTTTCCAGAGGAATAATGAAAAAGGTATGTAACTAGGTGTGTGTTAGTCAGCTTTTTGTCACTGTGACCAAAATACCCAACAAAAACAATTTAAGGGAGGAAAAATTTATTCTGGGCTCATGGTTTCAGAGGTTCAGTCTATGGTCAGCCCACTCCATTGCTCTGAACCCGAGGTCAGGCAGAACATCAGGGCAGAAGGGTGTGGTGGAAGGGCACTGCCTGGCTCATGACAACCAGGAAGCAACTAGAGAGAAAGGGGAAGTGGCCACAGGGAAGGTGAACCCTTCTAGGATGTGCTCCCTGTGCCCCACCTCCTTCAGCCACACCCTGCCTACCTACAGTTACCACCCAGTTAGTCCCTTCACACTGGGATGGACCGATTGGGTTACCATCTCACGAGCTAATCAGTTCACATGTGAATATTCCTGCATTAACACAGGAGCTTTGGGGGGACACCTCATATCCATACCATCATAAGGTGGGACATGTGAGGAATCTGGGCATCCAGGCAGGGCTCTAACTTGACTGGTCCCTCTTCTTCTGTGAACCTTAGTCATCTTATCTGTAAAAAGAAATATTACTAGATCAGGAATGATGTGAAAGGTTCCTCTTCAGTTGATTGGTAGAGGCTGCCCAGAGCACTGTATTGAAGGATTCTAAATTCAGCAGGATTAGTGAAAAACTGTGCTGATCAATTAGCGATGTCTGCCGTGAGCACAAAACCCACTAAAACAGTCTGTATGCCAAACACGTGCTACCTGTGCATTAAAAAATACTGTAGTCCCCTTCCCCAGGAATCTGAGGCTCTCTAAAATTCAGGTTCCAGAACTAGTTTGACCACTCTCTTGCTATGTGACTTGTAAGTCACTTGATTGCAAAAGGCCCCTTATGGTTTAAGATGCTGCGGCTGAGATATGGTCTTGTGAAATCTACTTCATTGAGAAAGGGATTTTTTTTTTCCCATGAATTGCCCTATTTGGTGTTATATGACTGATTCCCTCAGATAACCACTGGGCTACCCATGGAAAGAGAAGGCCCATGTGTGTCTATAAAAATGATCTCAAAGGGCTGGGGTTGTGGCTCAGTTTAATGAGCGCTTGCCTAGTATGTGTGAGGCACTGGGTTTGATTCTCAGCACTGCATATAAAAAAATAAAATAAAGGTCCATTGACAACTAAAAAAATGTTTTAAAAAAAATGTTCTCAAAGTCAGTTTTGTCTCCTGGCACAGGGGCACTTGCCTGTAATCCCAGTGACTTTGAAGACTGAGGCAAGAGGATTGCAAGTTTGAGGCCAGCCTCAGCAAATTAGGGAGACTCTGTTTCAAAATACAAGAAGGACTGGTGCCAGGCATGCTGTAATCCCAACAGCTGGGGAGGCTGAGATAGGAGGATCGCAAGTTCAAAGCCAGCCTCAGCAACAGTGAGGCGCTAAGCAACTCAGTGAGACCCTATCTCTAAATAAAATACAAAATAGGGGGGAAAGAAAAAAAGAAGGACTGGGGATGTTGCTTAGTGGTAAAGCACTCCTGGCTTTACTCCCCAGTACTGAGAAGGAAAAGAAAAAGAACCCCAACAAATTCAGGTTTGCCATTCTCTCCCTACAGTAAATTTAAATTCTTGGCTTAACTGGTAGGATAGGGTAATGGTTAGGAAGGAAGATTGGAGCCAAACTGCCTGGATTAGAATTCCAGCTTCTCCACTTTCTAGCTCAGGGAACTGGTGACTTAACCTGTTGGTGTCTTTGTTTTCTCGTCTACATCATGGGGATCCGTGCACACCAACCTGATGTGTGTCCTAAGGATTACCTGTATTCACGTATGGAAAGTGCTGGCAACAGTGACCTGCACATAGCAAGCAGCCGTAGTTGATACAGCTGCTCTGAGCTGTGGTGGAAAGGGGCTCCCAACCAGGAGTCAGGACAACTGTCTTCCAGTCTGGACAGTTCCCCCTGATACCTACTATTTTGCTAGGTATCAATTTCCCTGCCTGAACAAGAGCGGTGAACAAGTCCCTACCTCACAGTGTGCTGTGGACTGGAAAGTGGGTGACAGAGGGTGGTACTTAGTGGGTGCAGATCGGTGGAGAGTCCCCAGGCTGGTCCTCCCGGAGCTGTGAATGAGCCTCTCTCCTTCTCAGCCCCCAAATCCCCCGGGGAGAAGACTCGGTATGACACATCGCTGGGGCTCCTCACGAAGAAGTTCATTTACCTCCTGAGCGAGTCTGAGGATGGGGTCCTGGACCTGAACTGGGCTGCTGAGGTGCTGGATGTGCAGAAGCGGCGCATCTACGACATCACCAATGTGCTGGAGGGCATCCAGCTCATCCGCAAGAAGGCCAAGAACAACATCCAGTGGGTGTGAGTGCCTGGGCCGGGCGGGTCAGCACCGGCCAGTGGGTATACTGCAGTGGGCGGAGCCAGGGGCAATAGCCAATGGGTGTGGTTGTCAGGGGCGGGCTGAAAGGAACATCCAATGGGCGCAAGGGCAGGTTTAGGTGCTAGGGGCGGAGCCAAAGTGTATGAGTGTAGGATGGAAGAGCCCTAGGGCTTGCTGGAGTGATAGAATAAGGGTGGGGACAGTGGAGAAAGATTGCTAGGAGGTGTAAAGGCCTGCAAGGACCCCAGACCCTTCCTTGTGTCAGGGATACCACCTCTTAGTTCAGGAAAGTCTCCTGGGCGCTGAGTAGGCGTAACCCACGTTGCTCTTCCCATTCTATAAGGTCTTAAAGGACAGACCTGCAGCCCCTGGAGTGAACTCTAAGAAAGCCCTAGCAGGGGCGGCAGGACTGAGGCCACTCTGGTTCATTTGGGAAAGGCTGGAGCACAGGGATGGACAGAATGGAGCGCTCTCCAAAACTGGCAATCAGGCCTTCATTTGTTCTCCCTCGCCCATTCCAATCCACAGCTGTTCCCTGGGAGTGTGCATGACCCCTAATGTGCACAGCCCAGGGGGACACCCTTGCTGGCTATGTGACCAGCCTTGTCCTGGAGTTTTGCCCACTCCGCTGGTGCGGCTCCGTGCAGCTCTGGGGTTGGGGCTCCCTGGATGGGGTTGATACTGACACTGGAGACTGCTCTGTTCCCAGAGGCAGGGGACTGTTTGAAGACCCCGCTCGGCCTGCGAAGCAGCAGCAGCTTGGGCAGGAGCTGAAGGAGCTGATGAGCAAGGAGCAGGTGTTGGACCAGCTCATCCAGAGCTGCTCCCAGAGCTTCAAGCACCTGACCGAGGATAAAGCCAACAAGAGATATCCTGTTTGCGGTGGGAAGGGGTCGGGCTGCCTGTTGACAGCTGTTCAGGTGTTGCAGCACCTCCCTGCAGGGATTCTGTTGTCCTAGGGGTTCGATAGATCTGTTTCCTCCTTTCTTAGGCTTTCTTCTCAATCCTATTAAAATTACTTTCTCATTAAAAATAAGCCAAGTGGGGCTGGGGTTGTGGCTCAGCGGTAGAGCGCTCACCACATAAAGATACATAAAGATATTGTGTCCAACTTTAAAAAAATAAGCCAAGTACATTTCTAAGTTGCTGATCCTGGCCTGGAACTCGGTGAGCCTTCTGCCTCAGTCTCCCAAGTAGATGGGGCCACAGGCAGGAACCACCATATCAGCTAGTACATTCCTTTAAGTCTAGAAAACAGAGAGAAGTGAGCTTCCACCTTCATGTAGCCATTGTTCCTTCACTCTTCAGCTGTGTGTGTTGTTTCAACTGTCGTGTGCCCTGTACGTTGTACGTGTTATCCAGGTTTTCTCCACTTGGTGTATTACCGTAGGTATCTTTCTATGTTACATATTCTTCCTAAACTGTTTGGTTGACCCTGTGAAACCTTTGGTATTTGACCACTTTTTAATCTTTGAAAAAGAAATTTCATATTGTTCAACTTCTTATTTATTCAGGTCCTGGGAATTGAACCCAGAGGTACTCTGCCTCTGAACTATATCCCCAGTTCTTTTTAATTTTTTGCTTTGATTTGTTTTGGTTTGGGTACTGGGGATTGAACCCAGGGCCTTGCACATGCAAGGCAAGCACTCAACCAACTGGGCTATATCCCCAGCCCCTTAATTTTTTGTTTTGAGATGGAGTCTTGTTAAGTGGCTTAGGGCCTCACTAAGTTGCTGAGGCTGGCCTTGAACTTGTGATCCTCCTGCCTCAACCTGGAAGCACCTGGCATAAAGTAGCATTTTAAGATGATTTTTTTTCTCTCCATTTGCTTTCTAATGGGATTCAGGGTGGCTTGTGATATTGAAGAGCAGAGGATACTTTTGAGGTATTTCTGAGATGTTTAAAGAATTTTGAGAAGGTGATGTGTGGAGGCTTTGGAGCGGTGAGTGGAGGCCCTGCCTGGGGGACTGGAGGTGTGACTTCTGACCAGGCAGTTACTTTTCTTGACTCTCCCTGCCCCTACACTGGCCTATGTGACCTACCAGGACATCCGCGCCATGGGCAACTTTAAGGAGCAGACGGTGATCGCTGTCAAGGCCCCTCCACAGACGCGACTGGAAGTGCCCGACAAGGCTGAGGTGAGAGGGCGAGCATGCGATGAAGAGCCAAGCGGGACCGGCCAGGCGGCCCTCTGGACTCTGTCCCTGGCACTGCCCGGCCCCAAGTTATGCTGTTCCATGCTGTGCCCATGGCAGTATTGGTGGCCTCCAAGCTGGGGCAGAAATGGCAGAAGCTGGAGAGGGCAACAGAGACAGAGTTCTAGCCTGAGGAAATCTGTCCCTCCAGAGGCTCTGTTCTGTCTGCATCCCACCTGCCCTGGGTTCTTCCTTGTATGCATGTGTGGGCTCACACGCCACCATGTTAGTACTCACAGAAATTCTTTCCTGCGGACTGTGTGTTCCCAGGTTCAAGATCAAAATTTCTGTGTGTGTGTGTGTGTGTGTGTGTGTGTGTGTCTTGGAGATTGAACCCAGGGGTGCTTTACCACTGAGCCATGTTCCCAGCACTTTTTAAAATTTTGAGACAGGGTCTCACTAAGTTGCTGAGGGCCTCACTAGGTTGCTGAGACTGGCTTGAACTTGCATTCCTCCTGCCTCAGCCTCCTGAGTAGCTGGGATTGCAGATGTGCACCACGGTGCCTAGCAGGATCAAAATTCTTAACTCTCCCCATCCATCTGGTGCCCTGACCCCAGCTGATCTGCCAATCTCCGCTTCCATGCCTGCCCCATCTGCTTTGGCCACGGTGACCTATGAGCAGTCTCCTACCACGCTAAGCACATCTTTATGCAAGACCTTCACACGTGCCATTCCCTGCAGCTGCAATGCTCCTTTCCCTCTGCCTGGTTTTCTGCTACTTATCCTCAAGTCTCAGCTTGAACATGAGTCACTTCCTTGAGGAAGTGTTCCCTGGTCACCCTCTGACCTCACACACTCACTCTCCATTCCCTAGGACGTGTCTGGCATGATGGCATGATCGCCTCCTGTCTGTTAGAGTAGGCTTCATGAGAGAACAGTCTGCGTGCCTTGTGTCTGCAGCCCAGGGTCTGGCACATAGGGAGGGCTCTAGAAGGGATTTGATTGAAGGAAGAAGTGGAGGCTACAGGGTTGATTAAGGCCTCATTCCTCCCTTGGAGGAGCTCAGGACCTCGTGGGGAAGAGACCCAAGCAAACAGTGGTGCTGTCATTTGTAACTGAAGATGGGCTTCGAGGGCAGAATGTTCAGAGGAAGCATCGTGGGGGGTGACAGTAGAACTGGGTCTTAAAGACTAAGCAGGTTTTGGAGACTGACCGTGTGCCTGAGTGGAGTGTGTGTAGACACTGGCAGGTTTTGTTTTTGTTGGTTTTTATTATATTTTTTAGTTACAGATGGACACAGTACCTTTGTATGTATGTATATATGTATGTATTTATTTTTAGTGTGGTGCTGAGAATCAAACCCTGTGCCCCACACATGCTGGGCAAGTGCTCAGCCACTGAGCCACAACCCCAGCCCGACACTCAGAGGTTTTGTAGCAGGTTGTGGTGGGGAAGGGCTGAGGCCTCGTGGCAGGACTGTGTCACTCTGCCTCTCCGCGCTGCATCACAGGCTCAAAGCCAAGGTACTCTTCCTGAAAACAGAGCTGGGGTCCGACAGCCAGAACGCACCGTCTGCCGCAGGCCAGGCAGGGTGCACGTGGAGCCCGGAGTTTGAGCTTCCTCACGTGGACAGTGGCAGCCACATGTGTCCCTGCAGTCACACTAACCCCTACATCAGTGTCCAGCTGCCCAGGGCCATGAGCTGCCTTTTCTTCCTCTTCCAGGAGAACCTGCAGATATACCTGAAGAGCACCCAAGGGCCCATTGAAGTCTACCTGTGCCCGGAGGAGGTGCAGGAGCCGGAGAGTCCTGCCAAGGAGCCCCTCCCCTGCACCTCCGCCCTCAGCCCCAGCCCTGACTGTGCCCAGCCCAGCAGCAGCACCGACCCTGCCGTCCTGGAGCTTGAGCCATCCTCAGGTAGGGACCTCTGCACAGAGAGAGGAGGTGGGGGAGCAGCTGGCCTTGGTGTCTTCCGCGTCTGCCTTTGTTGGATGCCCATTCTCTCCAGCAGCTGGGGGTTCGGTCGCCTCCCCAGCATAGGTGCACTGCACTTTGTGCTGCGGAAGCACCGGGGCACCACTCATTGGGGAGCCAGTGCTGTTCCCAGGCCCAGGAGGGCTTGGATCTGAACCCAGCTCTGCTGCTTTCCAGCTGTATGCATTGGGCAAGTTCTTGAAGCCCTGTTGGCCTTGACTTCATCATCTGTAAGAAGTTGGGCATAAGAATTAATGACAGCTAGTTCCTGGGGCCAGCCCAGGGCTCTCACCGCAGGCAGAGGGGCTCACCCTTGACTGGGAGGTGAGAGGTGCAGCTGGTGACACTGATGGGACGTTTCCAGGGAGCAGAGAGGGAGGGGAAATCCCCGGGAGGGTGGAAGGCCTCAGATGCAGAGCCAGAAAAGGGCCCTGTTGCAGGATGGCCCAGGTGTTGCTGGCGCACACAGCCGGCTGGACCGCCAGGATTCCTCAGGGCCACGTGAGCCAGTGGTCTACTGTTTGTTTTTTCAGGAGAATTCCTTCAGGTAGAACCCTAGTGTTTCAATAAAGGCAGAGCTAGAACTGATCTGATGGGCGTCTGGTGGGGTGTTCTGCAGAACGCAGGTTGGATTCCATTTCTCTAACTCGGAACTTGACAGACTAGTGCCTGCAGGTCAAATCTGGCCTGCTGATATATGACCCATGAGCTAAGAATGGGTTTTATTTTATTTTATTTTATTTTTCTTGTGATGCTGGGGATCAACCCTGGGGCCCTGTGCAAACTAGGCAAATGCTATACCACCTAGCTATATTCCCAGTCTGGTTTTAACATTTTTAGAGTTGAGGAGGTACAACTGCGTTACAGAGACACAAGTGTCCTGAAAAGCCTAAAATGTTATCCAGTCCTGTAGAAAGTTTACTGACCCTGATCTATCAACCCTTCATTCTAGACGTGAGTAAACCAGAGAGAGCAAGTGGTTTCCCGAAAGTCACACAGCAAGTTGATGGCAGAAATGAGACAAGAGCCTTACTCTCACCTCTTCTCTAATGATCTCCTTTCTGTTTGTTGGCCTTGTCCAGGAGCCAGGCTTCTCCGCGTGCCGGCCATCTGTTCCTCTGGGCACCTCCCCACTGCCTATCTCCTACCCCAGGCTGGTGCCCCACCCTGTCTTCCCTCCTCCTGTTCTGCCTTCTCACTTGTTTGTTGGCATGGGCACAGTTCCCCAAAGGGAGAACCACCTGAGTGGTATGGCAGTGTCCCCCGAGACCCTGTGTGGAGGTGATGACCCCACAGTGTAAGGAAGGGCAAAGCTTTGACCTCAGTTCATAGGTCAAGATCTCAGGAGTCAAGATCTCCATGAGCCAGCCCTACTCTGGGTGGCGTGCGATGGCTGCCCCTCACCTTGTCACCTGGCCTCATAGTCCTGTCCCTGTGAAGTTTGGAGGAGGAACACACACAGTCCGTGTTCTGTCCTGAAGTGGAGTCATTTTGAGGGCTCAGCATCAGAGGCCAGAACCAAAGTGGAGGCCACAACAATGTTAGCTCTTGGGTCCTGTCCCTGTTCTGTCATCCCCAGGGGGAATTGCCAACCCTCTGCGGCCTCCGTGTCCCTCATCTTAGAAGGGGAGGGACAAGAGTTGCCCCTAAGGCCCCCCCAGGCTCTGACGCTCTGAGGAAAACCTCCAGGTAGCTGACGACACAGGGTCGGAGGCTGGGAGATTTGGGTTTGAGACGGTACCTCAGCTCTGAGTGACTTGGTTCCCGTAGGAGAGTCACCTTAACTTCTCCAAGCCTCGGTTTCCAATCTCTGAAATAAGGACGCTTAAAATTCCCCTGGGGGCCAGGTCTGGTGGTGTGCACCTGTGGCCCCAGCTACTTGGGAGGCTGAGGTGGGAGGACTGCTTGAGCCTGGTAGTTTGGGCCGGCCTGGGCAACACAGACCAACTCTTCGCAAAACAGAAGAAGCAAGGCCTGGCGTGGTGCGGCACGCCTGTAATCCCAGGACACAATCACCTAGGAAGGAGCCAGGCCCCACCTGTGGCACAGGTGTCCCCACGTCTTATCTCAGATACTGCTCTAGTAAGAGGTGTGGCTGGAGTCTGAGCCCATGCCGTGCTTGTTCCCAAGCCAGGCTTCTTCCTGTAAGAGCCCCAGTGGGCTGAACAGAGGTTGGGGTTTGTCTGTAGGTCTTTCTTCTTTCTTTCCTTCCATCCTGGGGATTGAACCCAGGGGAGCCCTTCCACTGAGCCTCCTTCCTCAGCCCTGTGTACTTTTTATTTGGAGACAGGGTCTCTCTAAGTGGCCAAAGCTGGTCCTCCTTCCTCAGCCTCCACGTACCTGGGATTCCAGGTGTGCACCCTGACAATTTTTTTTTAATATTTTTTTTTGAGAGAGGGAGAGAGAATTTTAATATTTATTTTTTAGTTCTTGGCGGACACAACATCTTTGTTTGTTTGTGGTGCTGAGGATCGAACCCGGGCCGCACGCATGCCAGGCGAGCGGGCTACCGCTTGAGCCACATCCCTAGCCCATCAATTCTATTTTTATTTATTTATTTTTTGTGGTGCTGGGGATCAAACCCAGGGCCTTGTGCATGCTAAGCATATGCTTTGCCACTGAGCTACATTCCTAGCCTCTGGGGGTTTTTTTGTTTTTTTTTTTTCTTTCTTTTTTTATGGTACCGAGTCTCAGACCCAGGGTCTCATGCAAGTGGTCTACCACTGAGCTCCACCTCCGACTCTATTTTTAATTTTTGAGAACTCACCATACTGTTTTTTTGTTTTATTGGTTTTTTTACTGATTTTATTTTTTTAAATACACAACCACGGAATGTATTATGATTCTTAGTACACATATAGAGCACAATTTTTCTTATCTTTGTATAAAATATGTTCACACCAATTCATGTCTTTATACATGTAACTTTTTTCTTGCATTACAATTCTTTTTTTTAAAGAAGATTTATTGTTTTGCTAGCAAAGGAGAAACACAGGGGACTCCTGCCCCAGAGGCTGTGATTCTGCCCATCAGCAGGAACAAGGGACTTTTATTTTTTTTTATTTTTTATTTTTTTAAAGAGAGAGAGAGAGAGAATTTTTTTAATATTTATTTTTTAGTTTTCGGCGGACATGAACAAAACATCTTTGTTTTTTTGTATGTGGTGCTGAGGATCGAACCCAGGCCGCACGCATGCCAGGTGAGCAAGCTACCGCTTGAGCCACATCCCCAGCCCAGCATTACAATTGTTATTACACATTTATACCACAATTTTTCATATCTCTGTATATAAAGTAGGTGGACGCCAAATTCGTGTCTTCATACACATACTTTGGATAATGATGTCCATCACATTCCACCATCCTTGCTAGTCCCCTGCCCCCTCCCTTTCCCTCTCTCCCCTCTTCCCTATCTAAAATTCATCTCTTCCTATATACGAAGTTCAGTTTGTTGAGTTATAGGAGCGCTCTGTGTAATTTCTGGATAGTAATCTCTTACCAGATCATGATTTGCAGATATTTTCTCCCATTCTATGGATTGCTTTTTTCCCCCTCCTACCCCGTCACCATGCTGTTTTCCATAGCAACTGGACCGTCTTGTATTCCCACAGTGAAGCACAAGGGTTCCAGTTTCTCCATCTGCATCCTTGCTGGCACTTGGTATTTTTCTTTTTTGATAGTAGCGTCCTAACAGTGTAAGGAGGTGTATCATTGTAGATTTTTTTTTTTTTTTTGCTTTGTTTTAAACAGTACCAGGGGTTGAACCCAGGGCTGTTCTAGGACTCACATCCCTAGCCCTTTTTATTTTAAGACAGCATCTCACTAAGTTGCTGAGGCTGCCCTTGAACTTGGCAGTCCTCTCCCTCAGGCTCTTGGGTTGCTGGGATCACAGGCGTGCGCCACCATGCCTGGCCCTTGTCCATCTTTAATCAGGTTTTTTGTCTGTTGAGTTATAGGAGCGCTCTGTGTAATTTCTGGATAGTAATCTCTTACCAGATCATGATTTGCAGATATTTTCTCCCATTCTATGGATTGCTTTTTTCACTCTGTTGATTCTGTCTTTGGTGTAAAATATTTTCAATTTTTTGAGCTGGGTGTGATGGGGCATGCCTGTAATCCCAGCATCTCCAGGAGGCTGAAGCAGGATCCCAAGTTTGAGGCCAGACCCTGTCTCAAAATTAAATAAATAAAAAGGGCTGAGGGTGTAAGTCAGTGGTAGAGCACTTGCCTAGCATGTGTGAGGCCCAGGTTCAATCCTAGGTACTGCAAAAAATTTCTAAAAATATATACGAAGTTCAGTTTGTCTATTTTTTCTTCTAGTGCTTGTGCTTTTGGTATCATCCAAGAAACCATTGCCAGATCCAACATTATAAAGCTTCTGTTTTATTTTCTTCTAAGAGTTTTAAGTCTTAGTCCTTATGTTTAGGCCTTTGATCATTTTGAGTTCATTGATGTTAGATAAGGGTCTAGCCTGATGCTTCTGCATGTGGACATCCATTTTCTCAGCATCATTTATCAAAAAGACTGTCCCTTAGGGGAACATGCTTTTGAAAGTTACGAGTCAGTGGAGTATATCTGTGTACTGATGGGCAGGATCTAGGTGATGCCGGAAGAGGAAGTGATCTCAGGAACAGGGCCTCCAAGTGAGAGGCGGTGGGCTGGGTGTCAAAGCTGGGGGTGGGTTTTGAGAGTGGAAACTCCACCCACCAAAGGTGAGGGAGAGAGCCTGGGGGAATGCTGGAGGTTTCTGGAGTGGGAAAGGCAGGAAGGCTGTCCCGCCTGCTCGGGTCCAGGCATGACCTCTGTCTCTTTGTCTCCAGAACCAGCGCTGACTCCACCCCAGGTGCCACTGCCACCTTCACCATCCCTTGTCCCCTTGGAGGCCACCGACAGCATGCTGGAGCTGCCGCACCCACTTCTGCAGCAGACCGAGGACCAGCTCCTGTCCCCGACCCTGGCGTGCAGCCCCCTGATCAACTTCTCTCCGCCCCTGGACCAGGACGACTACCTGTGGGGCTTGGATGGGGGTGAGGGCATCAGCGATCTCTTCGACTCCTACGACCTTGGTGACCTGTTGATTAATTGAGGGGCCGCAGCAGCCCACCCCCATCTCTACCTCCTCGCAGACAGACTGACAGGTCCTCTGCCTGCACAGGGACAGTGGACACAAGGTGCCACCCTCAGGGCATGAGAGTCTCCTCTCCTTTCTGACCTCCCTGCCAGCAAATGCTGTCTGGGGACAGGTGGAGGATGTGGGGGAGGGGCAAATGAGGGGTTGGGTCCCGTTCTTCCTCTCTGACCTCTGACCTCTCAGGTGAAGGACCACAGGTGCAGGTTATTAGGTTCAGGGAAAGGCCCCGCCACCTCCTTTTGGGGGGTTATTAGGACCCTTGATTTTCCGAGAAGCACTTAATGCCCTTGTATTTATTTCAGGTTAAGTTGTGTTTGTCATTCTTCCTGAGTTTTAGCAGGGAGATTGTTCTAGTTTCTGGCAAGGCTTCTCCTCAGATAGGTCCATTCCCGCCCACTGGCCAAGGGCAGGCCTTCCAGGGGACCAGACACTGGTCTCTGAGGAGTTGTCCAGTTTACCAGAAAGCTCATTGCACTTAGGCCTCAGGATTATCGCAAGTGCCAGGCCCTTGACCTCTCCAGCCGTGGTGTCGGCCTGGGACTCCTGGTCTTCATCTCACAGAAGGTTCCAGCGGCCATCTTGGGGCAGGCAGCTTTGTGGTTCCTGTGGAAATAGGAGCAGCTGGTCCAGGAGACTCCTTTCCTAGGAATTCCTTACCTCTTCCTCACCTCAGAATGTAAAAGTGATCTCCCAGGGAGGCGGCAGAGAAGACTCTGAGGGCAGACAGGAGTGCGCAGTGGCCACTCTGGCTGCCGTGGACACCTGAGCCCGAGAAGGCAGAGGCAGGTCCGCCAGAGAAGAGGAAGAGGCGGGAGCAGGGACCTGCAGGAAGCATGGCCCCGGGGCTGCTGGTGCCCTCCCCACTGTCCCTGGGAGCACGCACGTGTGTGCCCCGTTGTTGAAGGGGATAATGTTTTAGGGACATCCCCTTCCCTCCAGTTCTCACAGATCTCTAAGGACAAAGGTGGCCAGGGCTTGGTGGCACATTTGCTCCTTTTTGTCACTGTAATGCTGAAGGGGTCTTCACGGCAGACCAGGCCCTGGCAGTTAACAAAATAGGTTTGTGTCACCCTTTCAGGCGTGGGGACTTGAGAAGCTCTTTTGGCTTTAGGCGCCCAGTCCCCCAGGGGCCTGACCATCCCACCTGCAGCCTTCTCACCCAGCCCACCTGGGCTGAGCCAAGGCTGTGCCTTCTGGAGAGAGGCACCCAGGGGTGGTGGTCTGAAAGACCTCCCACCCACCTCAGGGAGCTAGGGTTCCTCAGGAGCTCAGCTGGGCAGCACTTTTTTTTTTTTTAATGTTTGTAGCATTAAGTTGTGAGATAGGATCTATCAGTTAAATGAGCTAGTTGCTCCGAGCCCCGAGCTTGAGAATGGGGCCTAATGGGAGCTGATGCCCAGTTGGAGGCAGCTATGCTTTGTGGTTGGCTCAACTTCCTGGGCCCCCAAGTTAGCCCTCCCAGGAGTGGACAGCGGCTCACAGACGCCCTTCTCATTTTGTATGCTTTATGGACATGGATTCGGTCTCCACTCCCCAAAACCTCACAGGGGGCTCATTAGAAGCCCACTGGAAGCCCGGGCTGGGTGTGGCTTTGGCCCCTTCCTGGGGGGTGAGGTCTGCTTTGGGGCAAGTGGGGCTGGGGGGAATGTTCCTGTCCCAAGGTCTCTGCTGGGTGCCACTGAACCATGCACAAGCTCTGAGGACAGAGACGCTTGACCTCCAGGCCTTGGGCCCTGTCTGGAGTGTTCTAGAATCAAATTGCAGGAAAGGGACAAGAGGCCTGCAGGACCCACTTGGAATGAGTCGAATGCTGAAGTGTGGCCAGAGTTTAAGCTCATGTCCCCCAGGCCCATCCACGGGGCTGGACAGAGGGCCTTCCTGAGCGGCGGCCTCTGCCCACTCCTGGGCTGTCCCCTTCACACCCTGCCTGAAGGTCGAGGGTTTAAGCCTCTTTCTTGCCAGTAACCCTGGAAACCTCCTAAATTCTGTAGAGCGCTTTGAGAACGCCGTTTTGAGTGTTCATTTCCTTCCAGGGCCACGTGAACTTTAAAACTAGGGTGAGAAAAAAGCCCTGAAGTAAATGATTTCTGCCAGGAAATTTCTCAGCCCCTGAGTCACTCATGTCCCCAGGGATATCAAAGGCTTGGGGACTCAGGGGACGGAGTAGCATTAAATTGTTAGTAGACTTGAAGATTCCAAGAGCTTTCCTAACCAACACCAATGAAGGTGTCAGGATTCCCTTCTCCACGGTAGGTGGTCAGCTATGGCTGCAGGGAAGAGGGAGATGGCCGTGGGGTGGCTTGACTTTGTCCCTTTCCCAGCCTGTGGTGTTCTCTGCTTTGTTCTGCACAGTGTTTAGGGTTAGAGTGAATCTGGGTGCGCCAGGTACCCCAGTGTGTGTGGCTTAGCGCATTTGAAGAGAAAGCCTTTGGGGTTGTTTGGAAATGTCTTCCCGGTTCTTGTCATTGTATCCTGAGGTCCTGCCTCATCCTGGGACCGTGTTCTCCCATGAGGGCCCTCAGTGACCAGGATGGCCACAGGCCCAGCTAGCCTACTGGCTGCTGGGCGACAGGAAAAAGCCTTGCAGCTGTCATTTGTCTTGAGGGTGAACTGGCCAGAGGGAACTTGGTCCCTGTGCCTGGGACTCCATGCGGGTCATTCGCCTCTGGGCCACGCTCCCTGGGTCCTCCTTTTTGAGTACCAGCGGGGCCTCCTTGTGTTGAGATGTTTGGGCATTAAAGCATGGCAGCCTGGGAACTCTGGATGCTTGTCCTTGTCCCGCTTTCTGAGTTACACTCATTATCAACTGTGGGTCTGGTCCCCTGCAGGTGGGGGTGGGGTACCATGCCAGGAGCATCATGTGTTTACCCAGAGGCAGCCTCCCCCCACCCCACCCTGGCTTATCTCCAGACCTGAAATCTCAGCATCAAGACATCAAGAGGTTAGCAGCACCCAGACCTGAAATGTGACCACCCTGCCTCCGTCCCCCTCCCCTGGGCTGTGCCAATGGTTTGCCTGATCTTCTCTTTGGTTTAATGCTCTCTTCCATATTGTCCTCTGCACCAGTGGTTCTGAGTGGAGTCCCCAGTCCAGCAGACCTGGGGTCACCTGGGAACTTATAAGAAATGCTGTCCCCAGGCCTGGAGACAACTTAGGGGCAGGACCAGAATTGTGAGTCTTGGTGAGCCCTCCGGATGGTGTTAGGAGAGCTGAAGTTTGAGGGCATATGCCCTCCGCTACCCAGAGAGCTTTCCCAAGTGTCCTCAGCGGGCCCCTCTACTTAATGCTCCTCTGTTCCCTCAGGAAGACCTTGACTCCGTCCTTGACCTCACAGTCCACCTACCCTACCACTCCAGCTCCCTTGGCCGCTCCTTCCCACCATGCACAGCCACACGGCCCTCAATATCCATGTCCCCTCTTCTGGGCCTGTACCCACGCTCTTCACTGTACCCAGGATGCCCTGTGCTCCATTTCCACCAAGCAGGTGCCTGCTTATCCCCAAGGGCAGGTTCAGGAGCCTTTCGGGGTCTCATCACTGACACGTCCTCATTAGTGCCTCGTATACAGATTGGTTATTTGTGGGTTATTGTCTATGACGTGTGAGGCGGTGGGGAGACGGAGGCGAGACCCGGCCCCCTCAGCAGGCTTCAAGACAGAAGTGTGATCATTAATGGCGAGACAGGGGGAGGGGTCATTAGGGAAGGCCTCCTGAAGAAAGTTACAGCTGAGCAATGTCTTTTTTTTTTTTTTTTTTTGGGGTACTGGGGATTGAACTCAGGGGCACTTGACCACTGAGCCACATCCCCAGGCCTATTTGTATTTTGTTGAGAGTCAGGGTCTCACTGAGTTGCTTAGCGCCTCGCCATTGCTGAGACTCTCTCCTCCCGTCTCAGTCTCCCAAGCCGCTGGGATTGCAGGCCTGCGCCACTGCACCTGGCCTGAGCAACGTCTTAGAGGGGACCCCAGTTCCTGGCAGAGCCATCAATACTTTCTGTCCTGTCTCCGCAGACAAGGGCAGATATCACAGGACATTGCCTGCTGCCCCTGAGGAGGGACACGGACAGCTAAGAGCCAAAAAGAATGACCCAGAAAGCCCCCAAAAGGTTGACACAGACCCGGAGGGCATTGGGGTCAGGGGACCGAGTCTGGGGTTCTGTCAGACCACAAAGACTAGCCGACCAACGAGGAGGGTCTGGAGTTTGACGCCGAGAAGTCAGTTCGCACAGAAGGCTTGAGGGTGAACCCGTCCGGGCCAGTGCAGCGGGGCCTGAGGTTGGGGCACTCCCAGGACAGGGGCTGTGCAGAGATGAAGCCTTAGCGTATGTCTGGGCTCAGCGCGGTCCTTCACACAACATCATCTCATTTAACACCCACAACAACTATGAAGTCATCGCCACTTGGTGGATAAAGAGAATCTGAACTCAGGTAACCCTGGTACGTCATTGGAGGGGATATGAGACGGTGCCGGCCACTGGGGAAACAGTTTGACTGCTCCTCAAGAAGATAGGCTGGGCACAGTGGTGCCCCCCTGGGATCCCAGTGACTTGGGAAAATAAGGCAGGAGAATTGCAAGTTTGAGGCCAGCCTGGCGACTTATTTGAGACCCTGTCTCAAAGGCTGGGGATGTAGCTCAGTGGTAAAGTATCCTGGGTTACACCCCCTCCCACACACACACCCACAGACGAGGGCTGGGGTTGGGAACTGGCTTAGTAGTGGAGTTCTTGCCTAGCATGTGGGAGGTACCCCAGCACTGCAAAAAGAAGGGGAAAAAATGCAAAGATGCACAAAATAATCACAGGATTTAATAATTCTGGGGGGTCTACCTAAGAGAAATAAAAACAAGATTGCACATAGTGTTCACGGCAACATTATTCAAAATAGACCCAAATTGGAAAGACCAAAATATGCATCAACTGGGAACAGACAAAATGATTAGGTCCATAAAGTGGAACACTATTCAGTCATAAAAAGGAATGAAGAATGGATATAGACTACATTATGGCCCCCAAAATATCAGACTAAGTGAAAGGAGCCAGTCACACAAATCACATTTTATAATGACATTTATGTGAAATGTTCAGGGTGGGGCAAAATGTAAATATGCATGAGAGCTCCTAAGAATAGATATGCAGAGCTGGTGTTGTGGCTCAGTGGTAGAGCATTCACCTAGCATGTGTGAGGTACTGGGTTCGATCCTCAGCACCACATAAAAATAAACAAAACAAAAGCATTGTGTTCAACTGCAAATATATATATATATATACATATATATAGATACACATATATATTTTAGAAAGAATAGATACGCAAAAATCCTCAACAAAATCCTAGGAAACCAAATGCAGCAACATAAATAAGAATTATACCTCATGAAATTTGTCCCGGGAATGCAAGTTTGGTTTAATATCCAAAATTCAATTAATACACCATATCAAAAGAATAAAGGACAAAGTCATGTCACCTTGATAGACACAAACCTTGAGCTTGCCATCCTCCCCAGCAGCTGGGATTACAGGCATGTGCCACCACACCTGGTCAATGGTGTTTCCTTCTAAGATCAGAAGCCAGACGAGGATGTCCGCTCCTTTTATTTCTATTCAGCTTGTACTGAAAATTCTAGCTAGGACAATTAGGCAAGAAAATGGGAGATAGGAGGAGGCATCCAGGTTGATAGTAAGAAATAAATGCAGATAACAAGATCTTTCATAGAATCCTAAAGAATCTTTTTTTTTTTTTTTTTTGTACCAGGGGTTGAATCCAGAGACACTCAACCACTGAGTCACATCCTCAGCCCCTTTTTATATTGTATTAGAGACAGAGACTCGCTGAGTTGCTCTGGGCCTCGCTAAGTTGCTGAGACTGGGTTTGAACTCGTGATCCTCCTGCCTCAGCCTCCTAAGTCACTGAGGTTACAAGCGTGGGCCACTGTGCCCAGCCTAAGGAATCTATTTTTCAAAAAATTAGAACCAGTGGCTGGGTACAGTGGCACACGTCCATCATCCCAGTGGCTCCCGAAACTGAGGCAGAAGGACTGCAAGTTTGAGGCCAGCCTCAGATCAAAAATAAAAGGGACTGGGGATATAGCTCCGTGGTAGAGCAGCACTCCTGTGTTCAATCCCCAGTACCAAAAAACAAAGGATTAGAATAAACATTTTTCCAAAGAAGATATAAAAATGGACAATAAGTGAGTAAAAGAATTTCTAATATCATTAGCCATCAGGGAAACATAAATCAGAAGTAAAGATACCACCTCCCACCCACTAGTAATGAGAAAACAGTAAATAACAAGCCATGGCATGGA